CTTCAGTGCATCTTAGGTTTTTAATATGTTTAGTGTTGCCTTGTGCTTAGATGGGGACTGAAATGCCATAGGGCTTTACCTGGTGTTCCTGTTCCATTCACCCTCAGATTTCAGTCATCTCTGCATAACTCCACTTCACAGAGGGTTGTTCCAGGCTTTGACCCTTCCCTATAGTAGACTGGATTGCTTGTTAATCACCCAGTATTTTTTAGATATATGGCAAGGGCAGGGAAGTGTTCTTTGTTGTTCCTACATAGCTTCAGTCTTAGGCATGGCCTATGTGCCTGGGCCTTGGGCGCTGGGCTTTCTCTGTGATCCTAACCTTCTTCTTAATGGCAGCTGTATTCATTAGGGTTCTCCAAAAATAGAGAACCATTGTGTGTGTGCGCGCGCGCGTGTGTGTGTGTGTGTGTGTAGAATTGGTCTGCATGATTATGGAGGCTGAGAAGCCCCATAATATGCTGTCTGTGAGCTGGAGAACTAGGAAGGGTGATGGTGTAATCCAATATGAGTTTGAAGGCCTGAGAACCAGGGAAGCTGATGATGTAACTCTCCCAGTTTGATGCCAAAGGTCCAAGAACCAGGTGTGTGTGGGGGAGGTTGTTGGTGTAAGTCCAAGAATTCAAAGGCTTGAGAACCAGGAGCTCCAATGTTCGAAGGCCAGAGAAGACGGATGTCCCAGCTCAAGAAGAGAGAATGAATTTGCCCTTTGCTGCCTTTTTGTTCTATTTGGAACTTCAACTGACTAGACGATTTCTGCCCATATTAGTGATGGCAGAACTTCTTTACTCGTTTGAATCTACGGATTCAAATGCTAATCTCTTCTGGAAACACCTTCACAAACACACACAGAATAATATCTTACTAGCTATCCGGGCATCCGTTAGTTCAATCAGGCTGACACATAAAATTAACTATCACAGAATCCAGGCTGTTCTTTGTATATGTGTAATAGAAGTCTTGTACAGAACAGAGGTGTTTTTTTGTCTCTTTTTAGAAGTCAGTTGTCAGTCCAATTTTTACTCCTTTATAATATCTCTTTTTTTCTGTTTTAAGTTTATTGGTTTAATTGAATTAGTGGATTGATATATTTTATCTGTTCTGGAAATTTCTCATGTTTTCATATATTGTCTTAACTCCTGTGTTTCTATTCCTTTTTTTCTTTTTGCCTTATCTCTGTGAACCTGTGTTTTTCTATTCTTTCAGAATGATGATTAATATGTTAAAACTTCTCACTCTTTTCTCTATATTTCTTACCCTCTCTCCACATTGGCTATCTATTTGGTATCTCTGGGCTGCATTCCAGATTTTCTTCTACCCTGATTCTCTCTTCAGCACTGTCTAATCTGTTAAATCTGTCCACTGAGTTGTTAATTTCAGTTGTATATAAGTTCAGGTTTGTGAAGGAGGAAGCACCAAAACTGGATTAGATGTACAAAAATTTAATGGAGGCAGAAGCAGGTAGAGGGAAGGATAGCCTTCAGACCATAATGATTTGACATCTGTGAAGGGAGAGTGGGAAGAAAGAAGGTTTGGTTAGGAAGAGTCGTGAGCAGTGCGGTTCCAGGAAAGATTCAGCAGCCAAGGGGGAGTCTTTGAGCCAAGCCGCCAGTTAGAGGAAGCTCATTTCTTTCCAGGAGGAGCCTGAGTACCCTTACCATTTCAATGTGCTAGCTCACTGGCTGGGAGCAGTCTGCAGGTGGCATGCCTTTGGCACAAACATGGTGGTGGGTCCAGAGGGGCAGCAGCAGGGCCATTTACCAATCATACTCGCCAGAGCTGGTGATGTGGGTGGCATGTTTTATGGCTGCCATATTCCATTTGTCGATTCTAATAGTTTTATTTGGTATGTTTGCAAATGTATCATGTCAGTTTTATATTTTCCTATTTTCAGAAGACATTTTCAAGATTGCTTAAAAACTGTCTTAGATATTGTAAGTGTACTTATTTTATACCCATATCTGATCATTATAGTATCTCAAGTTTTTGCTTATTTGTTTCTGTTACTTTTTGTTTGGTTTTCTCATTGCATCATGTTTCTTTTGGTGTTTGGTTTTCTCCAAGTGCTACACATTACATTTAAAAAGAAGTGTTCAAGGGAAAATGTAAGGCCCAAAATATTAGTATCATCCTCCAGGTAGAATTTCTTTTTAATGCCAAATCTTCAGACACTATTGGAGAAAGACCACTTTAATCAAGTCTAAGGACACTCACACTGCAAGTCTACAGGGGAAGGATGATTTACATCTGAGAATTTATCACTTTGGGATCCTTTTTTTTCTTTTTTCTCTTTTTGAGATGGAGTCTCACTCTGTCACCCAGGCTGAAGTGCAGTGTTATGATCTCGGCTCACTGCAACCTCCGCCACCCATGTTCAAGCAACTCTCCTGCCACAGCCTCCTGAGTAGCCGGGATTACAGACATGCATCACTACGCCTGGCTAATTTTTTGTATTTTAGTAGAGACATGGTCTCACCAAGTTGGACATCCTGGTCTCAAACTCCTGACTTCAGGTGATCCACCTGCCTCCCAAAGTGCTGGAATTACAGGCGGGATCCTTTCTAAAAGTAAGGCGAGGATGACATTCTTCACTTTGGATGGATTGTGGGTTTTACTTTTATCCTGATTATCCTATAAAATTACCAAATCCCAAATTGTGGCTCCATCTTTAAGCTGTTTCTACTTGATCTGAAAATATAAGTGGCTCCTCACCAGACTTAGGTTTCTGGGTTTTCATTTTTCTTAGATTTGTTCTAGAAATTCCTCACTATCTTGTTATGTCTTTGAAGCTTACTATTTAGTTTATTTTATCCAGAGTTTTAACATTATTCTCTATGGGAGTACTGTCCTAATTATCTACCCACCATTACCATAAGATGTATGTTCCACTGATTTTTTTTTTGAGATGGAGTCTCGTTCTGTCACCCAGGCTGGAGTGCAGTGGTGTGATCTCGGCTTACTGCAACTTTCGCCTCCCGGGCTCAAGCGATTTTCCTGCCTCAGCCTCCTGAGTAGCTGGGACTATAGGTGTGTGCCACCACACCCGGCTCATTTTTTTTGGAATTTTTAGTAGAGATGGGGTTTCACCATGTTGGCCAGGATGGTCTCGATCTCCTGACCTCATGATCCACCTGCCTCGACCTCCCAAAATGCTGAGATTACAGGCATGAGCCACCGCGTCTGGCCTCCATTGATCTTATTGATTCTGAGTAACCCTAATTCTTTGAGCATCAGAGACAATCCTAATCTAGGTCTTCATGTGCAAGCTGTTACAGAGGGACCTACAGAGAATATTAGTTATCTCCTTTAACACAAGAAAGAATTGTTCTTCCCAGGAAAGAATTCTTGTTTCCAGGAAGAAGGTCTTCTTTGCCTACTGGAGACAAATTCTGGGAATTCAGGCTTAAAACTTCTGCAGAACTGGAAGTCAGAAAGTCTTTCTTTCATTTTTGTTTCTTGAGATTGAGATGTCTATCCTTGGGGTGTGCGTGTACGTGTGTGTGTGTGTGTGTGTGTGTTTGCATGCATGCAAGCGTGTGTGTTTAATTTTTGAGCAGTGGTATGCAGTTCTCTTCAGTGTTCACCATGATACATCCTGCTAGCTGTAGTAGAAAAGATAGTCTAGGCATCTTCAGATGTATGAAATCAGGAGGATATGCACAATATAATACCATTTTGAAATTTAAAAAATGTCCAAGTGCCTAAACTTAATGGTATGTAAAGAGAATTATGAGGAGGGAAAGAAAATATAAAAATATGAAAAGAATTAGGCAAAGAATGTGATTGAAAGTATAAAAATAAGACTCAAACCAATAATTATAACAAAACATCCAGTATATGGAGTGATAACTGCTTAAAGAATTAAAGAGGAGGGGACAAATTTAGATGCATCTCCATAAAATATTTTATTGGTAGAATAAGCAAGAACCAAATCTAGTTGCCAAAGAATAGGCCAACAGTGCCACTGTTAGATTAAGAATCATGGGGGAAAAATGAGTGTTGAGCCATAGTCTAGCTATAGCTTCCCCAAGAATTTACAGGAATTCTCTTCTGGGGTACTGAATCCATAGGTGAATCTCTGGAAGGAGCACTGGTATCTGTTAGGGCTACTGTGCGGGCTGGAACTGAATATTCATTGTGTAAGAATATGTAAGAATGTACTCATTGCCTGAAATATTTTGCTCTAAAAGTTAATCATGGCCAACACTAGCTTTCAGAAATAAGCCGGATACAAGTCTTTTTTTGTAGAACAAAAGCTGATCCAGGTACCAGGGCATAGAAATATGAACAGAAACATCATCAGCACACGATCCATACATTTTTATCCTTGAAGAGATAAAAGGAGAGGAGAGGAAGGGGGACACAATTGAAATGGATATATAATCATATAATTTTTGAGGTATTGGACAGTATTTTTACCCTATGTCTGGTTAAAATTAGCAAGCAAGTTTTTCTACAGGAGGCAGTGCTGTTTTATGCTGTAATTTAAATATAAAATTGATTTGTGCTATCAAATCACTCAAATTACATAACTGAGGTTACAAGGCCTAACCTTGAGCTACGGGGGAAAAAGCATCCTTTAAGCCACAGACTAAAAAAAGACTTTACTGAAGGGAATGGTGAATGCCAACTGTTCTGTAGTAGGAGAAAAGGATAAAATAACTGAAAGGGGGTGGAAATACAGTAATTTGGGGGACCCTGTGCTTGAAGGGAAGTAAATTTCCTTAGGGCAGGAGAGTATCATTAATACAATGGCATGCTTGCATGAAATAATTTTCTGTTATCTAGGGTAGAAAATTTAGAAAATGGTCAAAAGTATGGTAGTTGGAAACCAAATATTGAAAAGGTACAGGAAAGTCAGCTTTACAATTCATTTTCCAAACATTTGTTGATCCCACTTTATATGCCAGGCACTGGGTTTTATAACGGGGATACAAAGATGGGAAAAAAAAAGATCATAATCAAAGTATCTGAAAAAGAAAACCACTAAAGAAATGTTATTGAATGTAAAGGAAAACCGTAACTTCTTTAATAACATATTATTCAAATTCAAAGATGATAGCACATTTTGAGATTCAGATTGGTAATGTATCTTTGATTACACTTTGCAAATGTATTTGACAATTAACCATATACTACTACTTTTTATTACTGAGAGGAGGCAGGACTCGACTCCGGAGGTGGGGATTGGGCTCCAGACCACACTGAAGATGAGCTGAAAGGGAAGAGGTTTTATGGAGTCTCTCCATAAAACACACTCACCGGTGCCACGTCAGGTTACCATTGCTAAGGCAACACCTGGAAGTTATGGCTCCTTTCCATGGCAACAATCTCATGACCTGGAAGTTATCACTTTTTTTTTTTAAAGAAATTTTGGCATAATCCACCCCTTAATTTGCATATCATTGAAAGTGGGTATAAATATGATTGCAGAACTGCTTCCGAGCTGCTACTCTGGGCACACTGCCTATGGGGCAGCCCTGCTCCACAAAGAGCAATACGTTTGTTGCTGCTGTTGTTCTCTACCACTTTGATAAAAGTTGTTCTCTACCACCACCAGCAGCACTGGCTCGTGCGCAAGTGGCCATGGACGACCACACTGTGCCCTCCCTGCTGCCCCCTCCGATCATCAAAGGAATCCCTCCCTGGCTCGAGGACCCTGCAATGGCCCAGTATGGCTGCTGAGGAAGCGAAAGGCAGGAATTAAACATGGGTTTTACTTGAGCCACGCTTCAAAAAGTCCAACTCCCTGCAACGTCACCAAGGCCCTCAGGACCCCTGACCATAGCCTGCCCGAAGCCTGCAGCCCACCTGGAACCTCCTGCAGTCCTTAGCTTGACCTGGCATTTGTGCGCATGCTTGCAGACCCCTCCTTCCCAACGTGTGCTGGGAAGACCCTAGGGCGCCTGCGCACACTCCCTTCCTCCTCCTCTTCCCCTTGATTGGGGCTAATGTGAATACCTGCTTCCTGTGTCTCCATGATCTCACTAGAGGTTGGCTGATTTAAAGACAATGAGTTCCCTTAAAGGGTTCTCATTATGCTCAGAAGTAGAAATAAGGAAATCCTATTGTTTGATTCGCACAACCAGTCAGCGTCACATTTTCTAATCATCTGGCATTCAAGAACCTTCCTGGACAGGCCCATCCCGAAAAATACCGGATGCTTTTGCCTCACAGTAATAGGATGGTCAGGTGTCTGCAGTCTCAGCCTATGCACCTGGCGCTCTGCCTCTTCTCCATAACCAGAGTGGAGCTGGAGATACAGACTCTGTGTGTGTGTGTGTGTGTGTGTGTGTGTGTGTGTGTGTGTGTGTGTGTGTGACAAAAATATGAATAACCATATAGGAGATATTATACGTTATTTTCCCAGTATCCTACTTTTTTTCTTTCTTTCTTTCTTTCTTTTTTTTTTTTGAGACAGAGTCTCGCTCTGTCGCCTGGGCTGAAGTGCAGTGGCCGGATCTCAGCTCACTGCAAGCTCCGCCTCCCGGGTTTACGCCATTTTCCTGCCTCAGCCTCCCGAGTAGCTGGGGTTACAGGTGCCCGCCACCTCGCCCGGCTAGTTTTTTTTGTATTTTTTAGTAGAGACGGGGTTTCACCGTGTTAGCCAGGACAGTCTCGATCTCCTGACCTCGTGATCCACCCAACTCGGCCTCCCAAAGTGCTGGGATTACAGGCTTGAGCCACGGCGCCCGGCCATCTTTCTTTCTTTCTTTTTTTTTTGAAACAGATTCTTGCTCTGTCATCCAAGCTGGAGTGCAGTGGCACGATCTCGGCTCACTGCATCAAGCGATTCTCCCGTCTCAGCCTCCTGAGTGGCTGGGATTACAGGCGAGTGCTACCACGTCTGGCTAATTTTTGTATTTTTAGTAGAGATGGGGTTTCGCCATGTTGGTCAGGCTGGTCTCGAACTCCTGACCTCAGGTGATCCGCCTGCCTAGGCCTCCCAAAGTGTTGGGATTACAGGCGTGAGCCACCTTACCCGGCCCCTACTTCATTTTGGAATGCCACGAACCATAATATGTTCTAGAAAAGTGGAAACTTATTTTCTGCTTTGTAACAGTACAGTTACATTAATCTTTTTGGTAGTAAATCATTGTACTAATAAACTGATGTTGCAGAAGTAACAGTAACATGTATAATGCCCACATTTCTTTTATTGATGCTAACAGTCTACAAGAATCACAAAAGAACATATCTACTCATGTATATGAACTAGAAATTTATCAAGGTGGGGCAGTCTAAATTTTTTAAAAAGTTCAAAAATAAAGGCACTTGTTTCCCCTGTGCCACGCATTTGTCCCCACCAGAAGCTACTTGACATTAGACTACCAAAACTACCAAAGGAAGTTATGTTAGACAAATTGAAAACTCTGCATACACATCATTTAAAATGAGTCAAAAACTTAAAAAGTGGATTCTGAGCCTTGGCAAAGTTGCAAAGATGATGCAGCATTCAAAGTTTTCTGTGTCATTAAAACTGTGCCTGAAACTACAGGATTCCTTCCTTTGGAATAAAGTTGTCCTTTCAGCTCCAAGAATTCAGCCTCTCTTGACCAAGTTGCCTTCAGTTTTAGGACCTGCAGTGTCAGTCAGGCCCGACCTCCCCAAAGGCCGCCGACCAGCGCCTGTGGAGCAGCACGCAGAACAGGAGTGCGCCCCCCAGCAGCAGTGCCAGGCCCAGCCTCCAGCTCCAGGGCGGCTTCGGCCACGCCCACAGCCCGGCCCGAAGCCAGGCGCCCCATGGCCTCCTCCCCATGCGGGCGGCCACGCCCTCCGCCACCCTCCGAAGCCGCTCCTCCGGGCCTGCCCAGCGCAGGAGATGCGCCAGCTCGTACAACTCGTTGGAGTAGTGGGCGCCCTTGTGCTCCCGCACCAGGCCCTCCACCAGCCCCAGCAGCTGCTCCGCCTGGGCTTCCTGCTCCCGGCCGGTGGCCCGGTTGTCAAAGGCACAGACACGGCCCCCGCACTCGGCCACCAGCTCGCGCAAGGCCCGGTTCTCTGTGCTGCACACGTAATCTTGCAGGGAGCCCCCAGCCAGGTCCTCCTTCCTGGTGAAGACGATGACAGTCCATTTCAAGACGTCCTCCCCGAACATGTCCCTCACCTGCCTCACCGCTTGCTGGTCCTGGGCGGTGAACCGGCCCAGCTGGGTCACCAGGAGCAGCGCGTGGGGCCCGGGGGCCGAGAGCAGGTAGCAGCGACCTCTCTCGTCACAGCCGGTGTCTGTCTTAGACACTTCGGAGCTGAAAATGTCCGGAGTGTCCACGACTTCCACGTGGTACTTGTTCCACCTGCGGCTGGCCGTGGTGCAGGCCCTGGTCACAGACGTGGCCCCCAGCCTGGAGAGGAACCGTCTCTGGCCCAGGATGCTGTTCCCAGTGGCGCTCTTTCCGGCCCCTGTTCTCCCAACAAGGAGGAGCCTCAGCGTGGGATCCTGCCGGGACCAAGTGGTCTCTTCTAAACCTGTGAGACCAAGTGTTATAATCTTACTTAAGTTTAACTAACTTTCCCTTGGGAACTGGAATCTTCTTGCCTTTAGCAGAAGTGGTTAAGAATAGAGATTTGGGCCCGTAGGCGTTCATTTTCACCTTTTCCTTTTGTATTTGGGTTGTCTGCCTGCACCTGTAGATGCTCCAACTACAGCTGATTATCATAGAAATGTTCCTTTATCAATCCAGCCCAATAGTTCTGACATTTCTGGTCAGCCACACACATGCAGACATATTTATTTAGTATTTGAAAATTTCGATGCACTCTGAAATATTCTCCCAGAGACCATCCCCAGAGAAAGGCCGTGGGGGCAGTACTGCCCGGTAGGGAAGAGCTGTGTGGAGTTCCAGCTACCCTGGTTTGAATCACAGCCCCACCATGTGCTAGTTGTGTAACCTTGGGGAAGTTGCATAATCTAAGTATTAAGCCTCTTCGGCAAAAATGGGAGTGATAATAGAGGCCTGTTTCTCAGAGGCCTGTTGAGGGGGTAAGATAAGCCCTCTTTCCTTCTTCCCTCCTTCTCTTCCTCTTTCTCTCCTTCCTCTCTTCTTTCTCTCTTAAACTGGCTGCCTAAAAAGAATATCTGTTTTAACCCTCTATCCTTGTTCTGTAAACATTCTACCTCGCAAATCTTATGTTCACTGTAGTGCATGATTTGATCCCCTCTGCACTTCTTCTGTGGTGATCAGAGTAGGCTTATTATCCTTATTTTATACCGTGGAACCAAGGGAGCTGGCTAGTCAAAGAACTTAACTTTTCACAGCAGAGATCCAGCTAAAATGCAAATCTCAGGGCTAGTGCTGTCATCCCAGGGTTGAGACATCTCTGGAACTTATCTCTGTTCAGTCTTGAGGAAGCCCCATTCTCATTATCCTAAGCTGAAGCCTAGGGGGGCAAGTATGAGGTGTAGAGATATGGTCTTACCATAGATATTTTCTTCATCTCTCACCATCTTCCTTCCTCCCATGCTTACCTGGAAGGGTACCAAACACAATTTGTTAATTCATTTATTTATTCCTCAAATGGGCATAACCATCTACAGTGTGTCAGGCAAAGTCCGAAGAGCTGGTGACAGCACAGTGGAAAGACATGGTTTTTGCCTGCAAGGATCTAAAAATCTAGGTGTATGTCTTGGCAGAAGGGCAGGTGGCTAGAGAGAAGACAGGTAAATTTCGTCAAATATAATACATTGTGCTAATCCTTCTTTAAGTACTTGAGAGAATGGCCTTGGAAGGGCCAACACCCTGCCCTTGAGTTGGTATGATGCTGTGAGAACATTGGGTGGGGCTGGATTTGTCTTTTCAGGAACTCCAAAAGCAAAAAGCAGAGGGTAGGGTATAATATTTACTCAATGCCAATGGGCTTTAGGTATTACTTTTTCCCCGGGTGGTTCTATATCACTGACATAAGCTAGAGATATCAGGGGATTCAGCAGCTGGGGGAAGATTAGGTAAACCCTCAGAACCAGAAAATTTGCCCAGGACTCAGGCACCCACCTTCAAGTGGCTGGCCTGGGAAAAAAGAAGAAAATTGGGATTTTTCTTTTGGAAATTGAACAGATCTCCCAAGTAGATCTGGAGGGCCCCTGACTCTGTTTTCTTAAAATCAAATAGTTTTGTTTGTCTAGAGATGTCTAAATATGATGTCTGTGCTGGAGAGGCTTGAACACTCCCCTTCAACTCCTGAAGTTGTCTTCCCCTCCAAAGCTGATTATGCTGAAATCTAACATTATGTAATACAGCTAAACACTCTCTGATCCAGTTTGCCTAATCACACAAGCTCCTGAACACAAATGCACTTCTCCCTGCGTCTACGTCTCCAGCCTCATTCCCAGACAATCCCCCACTCGGTCAGCTACTTCACGATCAGCAGATTTCAGGGCCTTGCCAACCCACTCTGCTTCCCCTCCTAGGACTACTGATCCTCCCCGACCATCTCTCTGTACCTCACCATCCATGTCAAACTCTTTGTGTATTGCACCCTGGTCACTCAGGTACCTGTGTTCTCTCCCACTGGCACCACACATGAAGGAAGGGCAGAGAGAGAAGCTGGCTAAGTAACTTGTCTTTGATCGAAGGACTTGGAGAACAGGTTTGCCTCATCCTCTATTAAATCTAGAGCTGTTTCTGTTTCTGCAGGAACTCTCCTGGCCCTCCCCAAAACCTTCAATAAGATTCACTGCATGGGCCTTATGTGATTAATTATTTTGTGTGTAGGAATGAACAGACGATCATCAATGATATCAGAGCAGAAATGAAGAAACAGCTGCAAGATTCGGAGAAAATAATTTAGATGAAGCAAAATGTCCTTGTCAACCAAGAAAATGAGAATGTGTGCTGCAGGGAGTCCACAGAACTCTGGATAGTCCACTGGAATTTTCCATAGTTTGGAACAGGGGTTGAAATGATTTTAAATAGATTTTTTTAGAGGAAAGTAAGACCCAGCTGAACTCTGAGGTGACAAATGGCCCGTAATCATTGAGGAACACTTGTAGGATCCTATATTCCTAATACTTTAAGAGACCTCAAAGTTTATTGAGTTCTTTGCCACTCAAATGTGCTGTTTCTCAGAATTACGTGAATGTTCTTTAAAAATGTACAGCTCTTGGATCCATCCTCAGAGATTCTGATTCATGAATTAAATGTTTCTGATGTCCACAGCTCAGAACTTGGACATCAGTCATTTTTGCAACCCCCTTTATTGTACAGGTGGGAATTTAAGGTGTCCCCGTGGCTGGAGCAGGAGAAGCTTGAATTAAGGGAGCAGATGTTAAAGGGACCATGCAGGGAAAAGGGATGAAGATCAAGATATTAATCTCAGATGTCTCCTCAGGGGCCCCTTCTGTGGACAGTGAGGAGGAGAGTTCAAATGTACCCAGTCTTGTCACGTTGTGACTCACTCCGAGGTTAGATGGCTTACAGGGCCACAGAAGTATCTTTTGCCTTTGCTCAATAGGGAGCTTGAGGAATGTTTAATGCCTTTCAAACTGTATTTTATTCCTGGAGGTGGTTCCAGCACACTCTTCTCTTACTTTATTAAGGGAAGTGGGAGGAGACAGGTTTCACTCCCCACCAAGAACGTGTGTGCTCCAGAGCTGGAGAAGATGATCCTAAAATTTCCTCTGAACTTTGCCTACTTAAAAACCTGGAAGCATGTCTTTGATTGTTCCAGAAATTGCTCACCTGCATGATGCCTTGTAGAATGCAAGTGCTCAGGCAGTAAACACTCTAGGAATCACGTTCTTTCTGGTTCTCAGAGCACCCCCAGCCCCCGCCACTCCCAGGCTCTGGCTCACCTTTCCTGGTGACAGGCTCTGAAGTTGGCCACAAGAAGCCCCAACCTGCTGCTTTCCCTTCGGCTGTGAGTGCAGAAGGCTCTTTCCTCTCGGCACACAGAGGAAATCACTCAGACTTCAGAAATCAGGAAGCTCAGGGTGGGCCCCATGGTTACGATTTAAAGAGACAGAAACATTTCCCATTGAGCTGTGAATTGGCAATACTTCTCCTACCCACTCTACTTTCTGCTGTGACTGAGGTTATATGTCTCCAGCAGGACCTCATGATATCAAATATCTTGCCATGCCCTAAGAAGGGAGGAATGTTTAGTCCCTGAGGCCTGACTGTACTTCTAAAATTGATTACTAAGCTAACCTTCAGTTGCCTTTTGCCCTTTAGGGACGTTTCCCCATATAAAATAGGCCCAGAAAGTCTCCTGCCCCAGGACAAATAACATGATAGCTGTTCTCATCATCTGTCCATTAATTAGACATCCATGTGGTCAGTGCCAGCCCCAGATCCAGTCTGCCAGAAAAACCTGGAGGCAAGGTCTTATCATTCTCTGAGAGAGGAGGGCTTTCCCAGCTACCAAAGGACTTGAGGGTGAACTAATATGTTGAGGATGAACACCTTTGCACTGTCTTCAAATTAGCCTTTTTGGGAGGCTTAGTCTAGTCATCTATGTTGGTATCACCAGTTCTAGTTATTCTATATTCTCTCAAGAGCATCATGAGGTCAGCAAAAAAGCGAATCATTGGGTGGTGAGAAGGTTACAGAAGAACAGGCTGCATATCTGGTTAGGTCATTAGCCAGCTATAGGACCTCACCTAACTCAAACTTTCTGGAGTTGGCTTTCTGGAGTTCACTATATGGGGAAGACAGTAACTCAAGTCTTACCCTACTGGATAGGATCTGCTTTTTAACCTTTTTCATGCCAGTCCACTTTTTTTCTGGTAGGGGAGAGACCCAACTTTTACTGTTTCCCATCTTTTTGGGGGCACAGCGTCTCCTGGATGTCTGACATGTCCACTGTTTCCATTCATCATTGCTGAAACAGGGAGCCTGTCATTCTCCCACTAGACCAGCAGGGCTGGGGCTATTGTGAGGCAGGTGGGGCATCTAGGGCACACAGCTTAAGGAGGCACTCACTCTCAGGTCACCCAAGTGCAGATCCTGTAGGTGGGTGACCCTGGGAGTGAGTGTTTTCTTAAGAGTGAGGTGCCTAGGGCTTCTCACTAGCCTCATCCTAGCCCAAGCCATGTAGATCAGCTTTGAATAAGTTTTTGATACATGACGTGTACCTTTCATAAAGATGCTTTCAGAACCTCTTCGACAGCTCCTTGCCATTTATTGTTTCCATGCATGTGTATGATGTCTTACTTCAACCACTCGTAACTCCCTGTCAGAGGGTTTATCTGACTACAAAAGTATGTGTAGGTAGTGCATGCAGCAGCCTGAAGTTGTCAGAGCTGATATCCTAGGAGCATATTTCAATAAATGTCAGTTAGGACTTATGGATAAACACCACAGCTTCCTTACTTATCAAGCTGTCCACCAAGTGAGACAACTCTGTGATGTACTGCATACAAATTGCTGAGTCCGCAGCAGGACTGAGACCCAGTTGTTCACAGTGGGAACATCCTTATCACCGTATACAGTGGTAATGTGCTCATTAATGCAACCTGCGTTGGCTACTATCCCTTCCTGTCTCACATTTCCACTTTCCTACTGGTGCTTTCTGGGACCTTCTTCCTATTGAAAAGTAACCGTTTCTGTCTTTATTTTCCTCTACATTTCTGTTAGCTCTTGATTATGTCTCACTTTCTCTGGGCTTTGTTGCCTATTATTCATTGATATTTACAATCAGTTGTGGAAACCCAGGTGAAGCTCAAGACCCTGACTACACTTGAGTCTCAGAATTATATCTAGAACTCCTGCTTCCTTTTCTACCCTGTATTAACACTCCTTCATCTCTTTCCAGTCTTTGCATGTTCATTGTTTTCTTCCCTATCCTTATAAATGCGGTAAAGAAGATGTATTAGTCCATCCTGACGCTGCTTTAAAGAAATACCAGAGATTGGGTAATTTATAAAGAAAAGAGGTTTAATTAGCTCATGGTTCCACAGGCTGTACGGGAAGCATGATGCTGGCATCTGCTTGGCTTCTGGGGAGGCCTCAGGAAACTTACAATCATGGCAGAAGGCAGAGGGGAGGCATGCACATCACATGACTGGAGTAGGAGCAAGAGAGAGTGGGAAGGAGCTGCATACTTAAAAATTTTATTTAATATACTTTAAGTTCTGGGATACATGTACAGAACATGCAGGTTTGTTACATAGGCATACATGTGCCATGGTAGTCTGCTGCACCCATCAACCTGTCATCCAGGTTTTAAGTCCCACATATATTAGGTATTTGTCCTGATGCTCTCCCTCCACTTGTCTCCCCACCCCTTGACAGGCCCCCATGTGTGAAGTTCCCCTCCCTGTGTCCATGTGTTCTCATTGTTCAACTCCCACTTATGAGTGAGAACATGCGGTGTTTGGTTTTCTGTTCCTGTGTTAGTTTGCTGAGAATGATGGTTTCCAGCTTCATCCATGTCCCTACACAGGACGTGAACTCATCCTTTTCATGACTGCATAGTATTCCATGGTGTATATGGGCCACACTTCCTTTATCCAGTCTATCACTGATGGGCATTTGGGTTAGTTCCAAGTCTTTGCTATTGTGAACAGTGCCACAATAAACATATATGTGCATGTGTCTTTATGGCAGAATAATTTGTAATCCTATGGGTATATATCCAGTAATGGGATTGCTGGGTCAAATGGTATTTCTGGTTCTAGATCCTTGAGAAATCACCACACTGTCTTCCACAGTAGTTGAACTACTTTACACTCCCACCAACAGTGTAAAAGCATTCCTATTTCTCCACATCCTCTCCAGCATCTGTCGTTTCCTGACTTTTTAATGATCGGCACTCTAACTGGTGTGAGATGGTATCTCATTGTGGTTTTGATTTGCATTTCTCTAATGACCAGTGATGATGACTTTTTTTTTTTCATATGCTTGTCACGTAAATATCTTCTTTTGAAAAGTGTCTGTTCATATCCTTCACAAAATTTTTGATGGTTTTTTTGTTCTTATAAATTTGTTTAAGTTCCTTATAGATTCTGGATATTAGACTTTGTCAGATGGATAGATTGCAAAAATTTTCTCCCATTCTGTAGGTTGTCTGTTCACTCTGATAATAGTTTCTTTTGCTGTGCAGAAGTCCTTTAGTTTAATTAGATCCCATTTGTCAATTTTGGCTTTTGTTGCAATTGCTTTTGGTGTTTCAGTCATGAAGTCTTTACCCATGCCTATGTCCTGAATGGTATTGCCTAGGTTTTCTTCTAGGGTTTTTATGATTTTAGGTTTGACATTTAAGTCTTTAATCCATCTTGAGTTATTTTTTGTATAAGGTGTAAGGAAGGGGTCCAGTTTCAGTTTTCTGCATATGGCTGGCCAGTTTTCTCAGCACCACTTGTTAAATAGGGAATCCTTTACCCCTTGCTTGTTTTGGTCAGGTTTGTTGAAGATCAGATAGTTGTATATATATGGTGCTATTTCTGAGGCCTCTGTTTTGTTCCATTGGTCTATATATCTGTTTTGGTACCAGTACCTTGCTGTTTTGGTTACTATAACCTTGGAGTATAGTTTGAAGTCAGTTGGCATGATGCCACCAGCTTTGATCTTGATCTTTTTGCTTAGGATTGTCTTGGCTATACAGACTCTTTTTTGGTTCTATATGAAATTTAAAGTAGTTTTTTCTTGTTCTGTGAAGAAAGTCAATGGTACCTTGATGGGAGTAGCATTGAATCTATGAATTACTTTGTGCAGTATGGCCATTTTCATGATATTGATTCTTCCTATCCATAAGCATGGAATGTTTTTCCATTTGTTTGTATCCTCTCTTATTTCCTTGACCAGTGGTTTGTTGTTCTCCTTGAAGAGATTGCTCACATCCTTTGTAAGTTGTGTTCCTAGGTATTTAATATTCTTTGTAGCAATTGTGAATGGGCGTTCACTCATGATTTGGCTCTCTATTATTGGTGTATAGGAATGCTTGTGATTTCTGCATATTGATTTTGTATCCTGAGACTTTGCTCAAGTTACTTATGAGCTTAAGGAGTTTTAGGGCTGAGATAATGGGGTTTTCTAAATATACAATCATGTCATCTGCAAACAGAGACAATCTAACTTCCTCACTTCCTGTTTGAATACCCTTTATTTCTTTCTCTTGCCTGATTGCCCTGGCCAGAACTTCCAGTACTATGTTGAATAGGAGTGGAGAGAGAGGGCATCCTTGTCTTATGCCAGTTTTCAAAGGGAGTGCTTCCAGCCTTTGCACAGTCAGTGTGATATTGGCTATGGGTTTGTCATAAATAACTCTTATTATTTTGAGATACATTCCATCAATATCTAGTTTATTGAGTGTTTTCAGCACGAAGGCATGTTGGATTATATTGAAGGCCTTTTCTGCGTCTATTGAGATAATTATGTGTTTTTTTTTCATTGGTTCTGTTTATGTGATTGATTACATCTATTGATTTGCATATGTTGAACCAGACTTGCATCCCAGGGATGAAGCCAATTTGATTGTGGTGGATGAGCTTTTTGATTTGCTACTGGATTCAGTTTGCCAGTATTTTATTGAGGATTTTTGCATCGATGTTCATCAGGGATATTTGCCTTAAATTTTCTTTTTGTGTGTGTGTCTCTGCCAGGTTTTGCTATCAGGATGATGCTGGCCTCATAAAATGAGTTAGGGAGGATTCCCTCTTTTTTTATTGTTTGGAATAGTTTGAGAAGTAATGGTACCAGCTCCTCTTTGAACCTCTGGTAGAATTTGGCTGTGAACCTATCTAGTCCTGGGCTTTTCTTTTTTTTGTTTTTTTTTTTTGGTAGGCTATTAATTACTGCCTCAACTTCAGAACTTGTTATTGGTCTATTCAGGGATTTGACTTCTTCCTGGTTTAGTCTTGGGAGGGTGTATGCATCCAGGAATTTATCCATTTCTTCTAGATTTTCTAGTTTATTTATGTAGAGATATTTATAGTGTTCTCTGATGTTAGTTTGTATTTCTATGGTGATATCCCCTTTATCATTTTTTTTT